TTGGCGCCCCCCGGCGGCCGCCGTTCGGGCAATGGCGGTCGAACATGGACCTCCTCGACTGGCTGGCGCTATTCTTCGGGTTCCAGCGCGACAACGTGCGAAACCAGCGCGAGCATTTGGTCCTCCACCTCGCCAACTCTCAGATGCGGCTCACGCCGCCGCCGGACAACATCGACACGCTCGAAGCCGGCGTGCTCCGGCGGTTCCGCAAGAAGCTGCTGAAGAACTACACCACGTGGTGCTCGTACCTCGGGAAGAAGTCCAACATCTGGATCTCCGACAGCCGCCGCGGCGGCGACCTCCGCCGCGAGCTCCTGTACGTGTCGCTCTACCTCCTGATCTGGGGCGAGGCAGCGAATCTGCGGTTCATGCCGGAGTGCATCTGCTACATCTTCCACAACATGGCGAACGAGTTGAACCGAATATTGGAGGATTTCATTGATGAAAACACGGGGCAGCCGGTGATGCCTTCGATTTCCGGTGAGAACGCATTTTTGAACTTCGTGGTGAAGCCTATTTATGATACGATTAAGCGCGAGGTTGACAGTAGTAGGAATGGGACTGCGCCTCATAGTGCTTGGAGGAACTATGATGATATTAATGAGTATTTTTGGAGTAAGAGGTGTTTTGAGAAGCTGAAGTGGCCTCTTGATGTTGGGAGTAACTTTTTTGTTACTGCTGGTGGGGGGAAGCATGTGGGGAAGACTGGGTTTGTGGAGCAGAGGTCGTTTTGGAATTTGTTTAGGAGTTTTGATAGGCTTTGGGTGATGTTGATACTGTTTCTTCAGGCTGCCATTATTGTGGCTTGGGAGGGGAAGACTTACCCTTGGCAGGCTTTGGAGGATAGGACCGTGCAGGTTAGGGTTTTGACTATCTTTTTCACTTGGAGTGGTTTGAGGTTTTTGCAGAGTTTGCTTGATGTGGGGATGCAGTATAGGTTGGTGTCCAGGGAGACCATGGGGCTTGCAGTGAGGATGGTGCTGAAGTGTGTTGTGGCTGCCGGTTGGATTGTTGTGTTTGGTGTGTTTTATGCGAGGATATGGACGCAGAGGAACCAGGATAGGAGGTGGTCGCCGGCTGCGAATAATCGGGTGCTGAACTTTATGGAGGCTGTGTTTGTGTTTGTCATTCCGGAGCTTCTGGCTTTGGCTCTTTTTATTCTTCCTTGGATTAGGAATTTTGTTGAGAATACGAATTGGAGGGTTTTCTACATGTTGTCGTGGTGGTTTCAGAGCAGGAGCTTTGTGGGGCGTGGTTTGAGGGAAGGTCTTGTGGACAATGTTAAATATTCGTTGTTCTGGATTGTGGTGCTGGCCACGAAATTTTGCTTCAGTTACTTTTTGCAGGTGAAACCCATGATTGCTCCGACGAAGGCTGTGTTGGGCCTTAAACATGTTGAGTATGAATGGCATGAGTTTTTTCATAATAGCAACCGGTTCGCTGTTGGTTTGTTGTGGCTTCCGGTTGTTTTGATTTATCTGATGGATATACAGATTTGGTATTCGATATACTCGTCTTTTGTTGGTGCAGCTGTGGGGTTGTTCTCACACTTGGGTGAGATTCGAAATATGCAACAGCTGAAATTGAGGTTCCAGTTTTTTGCCAGTGCGATTCAGTTTAATCTCATGCCAGAGGAGCAGTTGTTGAATACAAGGGGAACGTTGAAGAGTAAGTTTAAGGATGCCATCCACAGGTTGAAGCTCAGGTATGGGCTTGGTCGGCCTTACAGGAAGCTCGAGTCTAACCAGATTGAGGCCAACAAGTTTGCTTTGATATGGAATGAGATAATTCTGTCTTTTAGGGAGGAAGATATTATATCTGACAAAGAGTTTGAATTGCTGGAGCTGCCGCAAAACTCTTGGAATGTCAGGGTGATCCGCTGGCCATGTTTTCTTCTGTGCAATGAGTTACTGTTGGCACTCAGTCAGGCCAAAGAATTAGTTAATGATAGTGATAAGAGGCTTTATAATAAGATATGCAAGAGTGAGTACAGACGCTGTGCTGTCATCGAAGCTTATGATAGTATCAAGCACTTGCTTCTCGAGATTATCAATCCCAACACTGAAGAACATTCTATTGTGACTGTGCTGTTTCAGGAAATTGATCATTCTCTTGAGATTGAGAAGTTCACTAAAATGTTCAAAACAACTGCACTGCCTCAACTCCACAACAAGTTGATAAAACTTGTTCAGTTGTTAAAGAAGCCTAAGAAAGATCCAAACCAAGTGGTGAATACCCTTCAAGCCCTTTATGAGATTGCTATCAGAGACTTTTTCAAGGACCAAAGAAATGCTGATCAGCTAAAGGAAGATGGTTTGGCTCAACAGAATCCTGCTTCAGGTCTACTTTTTGAGAATGCCATTCAGTTGCCTGACACCAGCAATGAGAACTTCTATCGGCAGGTTCGGCGCTTGGACACAATTCTTACATCCAATGATTCAATGCAAAACATCCCAATAAATTTAGAAGCTAGACGGAGAATTGCTTTCTTCAGTAACTCACTTTTTATGAACATGCCCCATGCTCCCCAAGTTGAGAAAATGATGGCTTTCAGTGTTCTAACACCTTACTATAGTGAAGAAGTACTGTACAGCAAAGAACAGCTGAGAAATGAGAATGAAGATGGGGTTTCAATCCTGTACTATTTGCAGACTATATATGATGATGAGTGGAAAAATTTTATGGAGAGGATGCGTCGAGAGGGGATAACAAAAGATAGTGATATTTGGACTGAAAAACTTAGGGATTTGAGGCTATGGGCTTCCTACAGAGGCCAGACACTGTCACGGACAGTTAGAGGAATGATGTACTACTATCGGGCCCTGAAGATGTTGACTTTTCTGGATTCTGCATCAGAAATGGATATTCGAGAAGGTGCCCGAGAACTTGTTTCAATGAGGCCAGATAATTTAGGGAGTTCCAACTCTGAAAGGTCATCATCCTCTAAGGGTTTAAGTAGAGCAAGCAGTTCAGTTAGTTTGTTATTCAAAGGCCACGAGTATGGGACTGCTTTAATGAAATTCACGTATGTGATTGCTTGCCAGATATATGGAACTCAGAAGGAAAAAAAGGATCCTCATGCTGATGAAATTTTGTATCTAATGCAAAACAATGAGGCCCTTCGGGTTGCTTATGTTGATGAGAAAACCACTGGAAGGGATGAGAAGGAGTATTACTCTGTTCTTGTTAAGTATGATCAGCAGTTGCAGAAGGAGGTGGAAATTTACCGTGTAAAGTTGCCTGGGCCCTTGAAACTTGGGGAAGGAAAGCCAGAAAATCAAAACCATGCCATCATCTTCACTCGTGGTGATGCAGTTCAAACTATTGATATGAATCAGGACAACTACTTTGAGGAGGCACTTAAAATGCGAAATCTTTTGGAAGAATACAGCCACTACTATGGCATCCGGAAACCCACTATTTTGGGAGTTAGGGAACACATTTTTACTGGTTCTGTTTCCTCTCTTGCATGGTTCATGTCAGCTCAGGAAACGAGTTTTGTCACCTTGGGACAGAGGGTTTTGGCAAACCCTTTGAAGGTTAGAATGCATTATGGTCACCCAGATGTGTTTGACAGGTTTTGGTTCTTGACTCGAGGTGGTATCAGTAAAGCTTCCAGAGTGATCAACATAAGTGAGGACATCTTTGCTGGATTTAATTGTACTCTTCGGGGAGGTAATGTCACTCACCATGAGTACATTCAGGTTGGAAAGGGGAGGGATGTTGGGTTGAATCAAGTATCAATGTTTGAAGCAAAGGTTGCAAGTGGAAATGGGGAGCAAATCCTAAGTAGAGATGTGTACAGATTGGGTCATAGGCTGGATTTTTTCCGGATGCTCTCATTCTTCTACACTACTGTGGGGTTCTTCTTCAACACAATGATGGTGATTCTGACTGTATATGCATTTTTATGGGGTCGATTATATCTTGCACTTAGTGGTGTTGAGAATGCAATGGAAAGTAACAGCAATAACAATAAAGCACTTGGTACCATCTTGAATCAACAGTTCATTATCCAACTTGGACTTTTCACTGCTCTTCCAATGATTGTAGAAAATTCCCTTGAGCATGGGTTCCTTCAAGCTATCTGGGATTTCTTGACAATGCAGCTCCAGCTTTCATCAGTTTTTTACACATTCTCGATGGGCACTCGTAGTCATTTCTTTGGTCGGACTGTTCTGCATGGTGGGGCAAAATATCGAGCTACTGGTCGTGGTTTTGTTGTAGAACACAAGGGATTTGCTGAAATCTATAGACTCTTTTCCCGCAGCCATTTTGTGAAAGCAATTGAATTGGGTCTAATACTTGTAATTTATGCATCACATAGTCCTGTAGCAACTGACACTTTTGTTTATATAGCCTTGACCATTACTAGTTGGTTCTTAGTTGCATCATGGATTATGGCACCATTTGTGTTCAATCCTTCTGGCTTTGATTGGTTAAAAACTGTTTATGACTTTGATGACTTTATGAACTGGATTTGGTTCAGTGGAAGTGTGTTTGCTAAAGCTGAACAGAGTTGGGAAAGGTGGTGGTATGAAGAGCAGGATCATCTGAAGGTAACTGGCCTTTGGGGAAAGCTTTTGGAGATAATCTTAGACCTCCGGTTCTTCTTTTTCCAGTATGGAATTGTCTATCAGCTAGGCATTTCTGATGGAAGTACTAGTATTGCTGTTTACTTGCTATCTTGGATTTATGTGCTTGTTGTATCTGGGATTTATGTGGTGGTAGTATATGCCCGGAACAAATACGCAGCCAGAGAGCATATCTATTATCGTCTGGTCCAGTTCCTTGTAATAATTCTTGCTATACTTGTTATAGTTGGTTTGCTGGAATTCACTCAATTCAAATTCATTGATATTTTTACTAGCCTGCTGGCATTCATTCCCACAGGCTGGGGCCTGATATCAATTGCCCAAGTATTCCGGCCATTTTTTCAGTCCACTATCATTTGGGATGGTGTTGTTTCCGTGGCTCGTCTATATGATATAATGTTTGGAGTCATTGTTATGGTCCCTGTAGCACTACTATCATGGTTGCCTGGATTTCAGAATATGCAAACCAGAATTCTTTTCAATGAAGCATTCAGCAGGGGACTCCGGATATTCCAGATTGTTACAGGGAAAAAATCACAGAGTTGACTGTGAATTGAGGTAATTTCTATTCATATTTTTAGTGGATTTTAGACTTGCAGTGTTTAAATTGTGATTTTGGTGTAATTGTTTTTCATATGGCCTTGAGACAATCGTTTGCTGATACACAAGATTAACAATGCAAGGCTGCTGTTGTGCTAACAAAATTGCACCCTTTTTGTACCTGTTTTTCTTCCCGTGTGATTTTGTGTACTTGATTCTGTGACATGTACTTGGGAAAATGTTCAGTTCTCATGAAGACATAAATGCATACATGATTAATCAGGCAATGAGTTTCCTCATCACGATTGTAACCTGAACATTCAATTCACTTTTTCCTTCCTCATCACGATTGTAACCTCAACACTTAAATGAAGTGCAGACAACGACTCCTACAGATCACATTATGGTGACATCATGAGCCCTTATTTGACACCCTTTATATTTTTTGTGAATTTCTGTCATGTGTTTGGTATTTAGCTGGTCAGTTGCTATTGATACTGACATTGATTGTTGTGATTTTGTGTTTGCTGATGATTTTCATGTGATTAGTGACTTTTTTATTATGTCATTGTGCTTGAGATACGATACATTTTGGAAATGTTGTTTATTTTCTTGGTAAAATTGTAATTGATTTTTACGGTTGTATGACTGAAAATATGTCTTGTTTACATGGAGTTAAAATTTCAGAATCAGCCTTAAAACACAAGGACAAGGTTTCTCTTCAAGAGAAAAGGGAATGGGTATTTGATGTGGGTAACGATGGTGAATTATGTTAAATTTTTGTGATTTCATTTTAATTTCCACAAGAAACTGTTTGCTTAAATATTTTGTTTTACAGAATCTTAAGGTAGATCTTCTATAATATTATGTTACTTTCCTGTTAAGTTCTAAGATGCCTACAAACGTTGAGATTATTTAGTACAGCCAGTACCATATACCTATTTTTGTAAATAGCAATTAACAACTTGAGTTGGGTCCATATTGGGTCGGGTTAGTTCTGTTCTTGTACAGTAAATTATTGATTTTCTTTGGCTCTAATCCTTTGTTTGATTCCAACTTGTTCTGTTTGCCTTGATTTTGGTTATTCATGTCTGTTGCTGTGTTTTCCCTTCTGATTGGCCGTGCTTGCCCTTGTTAAGTGCCATTTCATGCTTGGCTTTGATTGCCCTGTTTAACTTGTTCCTGCATAGGTTGCAGACTTGCAGTGTTCTTTTTCTGTTTTGCTCCATTATTTTGTGGTTTGTGTTGGAAACTGTTTGTATTCCTAGCGAATAAATGTCTAGGATTAGTTAAAAAAGGCAGATTCATGTATGGTGGCTTATCATTATCCTAGGGAGTTGCATTTTATAATTATTCCCCTTAAATGTTATTCAATATGAATGATTATAAATAGAGATGCCGAGCTTCTTCAATCGAGCATTTCCCCAAAATCTAGTCTTCAACTTCTATGTTATCTTTCACTGGCACTCTGTTTTTGAGCCTAATTCAGTTTTCAATTTCCGGACATGTTTTTTAGGTCCCATTTGGAGTCGATGTGAGTTTTTGGTTTTCAAATGCATTTTTCAAAACTAAACGTGTTTGGAAAAATGGAGTTGAACTGGTTTTTAACTCGACTTTAAAATATTTACACATTCATTTTTAAAACCAATAAAAAGTTTACAAACACAAACTACATTTGACAGTTTTTTTAAAATAAATTCATCCCCTGGGTTATAGCTGCAGGAGGCGCTGTTTAAAATCCAACTGCAGCTGATCCCATTTTCCATTTCACAATTGCTATATTTGTGATTTATCCCTTAATCTTTATGTTAGAGATCATATCAAATAGTGGTATGATTAAAATAAGGCATATAAGTGAGGAGTAATGCTCAATTCGATTTTGTAAAGTTGAGTTATATTTGTGTTGTTTCTTATTACTTCTTGTTATTTAATAAATAATAAATAAATAGTTAAAGGTTCTGGTGGTTCTTTTATCTGATTCATGTTTACTGGTGCCTTTCATGTATGTGTACCCTTTGCTACACTGGCTTTGTGTAACCTTTGGTGTTTTGCCTCGTTTGAACCTTTCACTTAACTGAATTAGTTAGTGTCTACCCTATGTGTATTTATCCATTTAATTAATAGGTCTGTATTATTTTTGCAGGGATGACGGCTGGAAAGTCATGTAGAGAAGGGCTATAGAAGACGAGAGACTAAAAAGCTTTCCTCGTTTTTCCAAATTTTCGTCTTGGTATGCGATGGCTATTGATGAGTTGGTGGCTGTGATTATATTTTGCTTGTTTTGTGGATAGGGGAGATTATTTTTTGCTTTCTTTTGATGGTCATATTTGTTATTGTAATTAGTCTATTCTCACGTTTTTTTAAAATAGTTTTGGCCGATGATTTTCTGATTGTGTGTTGTTACATCCCTGGCAAAAAACGGCTCATTATACTGCAGAATGATAGGCAGTACCATGATTCAGATTTGTTAACTTATTGCCATAGTTGAATACATAGTGTATGTTAAATTCAGGAAAAATGATCGTTTATTTCTTTCAGCTTCCTGATTGGCTTTCCGAAAAGTAACTATCTAAATTTAAGTTAAACTAACATCTCAATAGTTTGTATTTTCTCTCTCTCTTTATTTTCTCTATTCAAGTAAGCTAGGTTTTCCATCTATCATTCTATCTAAATGGCGAACCTCATTTCTAGTAGCAGTTGTTGAGCTACTTGCGACCACAATAGCATGTAATTGTAGTTTGGATTTCAATAATACCGTTCTACTCCATTTATTTGTAAAAAAATAAATATAAATTTATACTTCAATCTTCTTATCTAATGAGTGTGGTCACGACAGATGTGTGGGGAGGGAAGGAGCTAACGGTAGCTGAGTTGGAGAGTTTGGAGGCTACGGGATGCATTTTAGGTAGGGGTAAGGGAGTGCAGGGTTATTAGTTTTTGGTTAAATTGTTCTTTTAGTCTTTTTAAAATATTAAATTTGTAGTTTTTATTATTATTTTTTTAATTTTGTAATTTTAGTATTTTAATTATATAAAATTTTAATTTTAGTTCTCTTTTTAAATATTCATGTATTAATCATTAAATCATAATATTAATCATAATTTAATATTAAATAAATGATGCAATAATTAATATTAATAATATTTAAGTTAAATTGCATTTTAGTATTAATTTTTATCTCATTTTTTCACGTTTATCATGGAAAAGTGAGACGAAAATAAAAATAAAAAGTGAAATTAGACTTAAGTATTATTGAATATTAATTGTCATGTTATCTTAATATCAAGTCATAATTAATGTTATTGTTTTTAATACAAACTATAAAAAATTATAAGATAAATAAATAAATAAAATAATAATAGTAATTTTATAAAATTAATTTTATTTATTAATTTCTTTTTGTTAAAATTGATACAACACAACAATAACTTATAAAAGATATATTATTGGTATAAATGAAAATTAATTATATTCAAAAAATAAAATATACTAATTTTGATGTTTATTTTTCATTCTTATATGACACTAATTATAAGATAGAATGAGTATTGTAGATTTGATACTAAACATAATATATATATATATATATATATAT